AGTAAATCTGTCAGCGGGGCAGTTAAGCGTGTCATGTCGGGGACGAACCGACGCACATAATTGACGAACCCTAAAAAACTCTGCAGCTCCGTGATGTTCGTCGGGGGGTGCCACGCTTTCACCGTGTCCAACTTCTTGGGGTCGATCTCAACTCCAGCCTCCGAAATAACGTGCCCCAAAAATTCTAACCTATCCTGGAAGAAATCGCACTTGGAACCCTTGGTCAGTAGTCTGTGCTCGTCTAAAACTTTAAACACTGCTTCCAGATCTGCTATGTGCTGCTGCTTATCACGACTGTAGACTAGGATGTCATCGAGGTAAATTATCACGCATTTATCTAAGAGCGGCCTAAACGCCTCGTTCATGGTCATTTGAAATGTCGTCGGTGCGTTGGTCAGCCCGAATGGCATCACGGTGTACTCGAATGACCCGTACCTAGTTCTAAATGTCGTCTTGGTGCAGTCCGATGGTTCGACCCGAATCTGGTGGTAACCCCCCGGTAAATCTATTTTCAAAAAGACCCGTGCTGTTCGCATTTGATCTATCAGTTTGTCGGCGCGGGGAATAGGGTATCGCGACTTGACTGTTACCCTGTTCAGTGCTCTGTAATCCATACACATACGAAACCCTCCGTCCTTTTTCGGTGTGAATAGTATCGATGCGGCAAACGGCGATGAACTCGGTCGGATGATTTTTTTCTCTAATAGGTAATTTAGCTGCTTCCTCAGTTCATCGAGCTCGGGCTGTGTCAGTCGAAACTGTCGCTGTACAGTTGGTTGTGCCCCCGGTTCTAATTCTATTCGGTGATCATGCGCCCGCTGAGGTGGCAGTCCCTCTGGTAAATCGTCTAGAAAAATTCCCGGGTATCGTTTCAACAGTTCCTGTAGTTCGGGCGGTACCGCTGCCAGCAGTTTCTGAAAATCACTCGGCTGCTCTGCTTCCCCTACCAATGCGATATCCACCGCGTACACGTCGGCTCCAGCGGCGACAACCCATTTCATTGTGATGGTGTTGACGTGGACCGTTGAAGATTCGGGCGACTGCCAGCGAGGTAGCTCGGCCTAGTTACCGCTACTTCGCACAGTGCAGCTACCCGTCGTCCAGTCGATTCGCGGATTGTAGCGTCGCAGCCAATCACGTCCCAGTAAAGTGTCGTCGCGAGCATTTCCTGTGTAAACCCGAAATTTCTCCCGCAACGGACTTTTACTCTCTCCACCTTTTCCCGTATGGCCAGCGGCGTGCCATCGACTAAGCGTGCACCTATCTCCGGTAAACACCGACTAAGTGTCAGTTGCAGTTTCGTGCGGTAGCGGTATTAATTAAGTTGTGACTTGCTCCTCCGTCTATAAAAATCTTCATTGCTGCTCCCAGGATTTTCCCGTGAATCAGTACCGGGCAATCTGTCGCTGTACCCTCCTTATTCATCCGAGCCCGATCGATAGTGTGAATCGGTACCGTGACTAGGTGAGGGTCGGTGAGGTTGGGCGAGCAGGTTGTCTCTGTCGGAGGTCCACTGGTGATCCCCGATTGATCCTAGGGAAGGGTTACAGGCTCGTTGTCCTAGGGGGTTATGGTCGCACTGACCCGCTACTTCACAAGCCCTTTTATCCCAATGGTCTAGTGGTTGGGATTCTGACATGGTATCAGAGCAAAGGTCTCAGGTTCGAATCCCAGTGTGTACACTTCGGGCATCCCAATTCGGGGGGGTGTCAGAGGTCCACTGGTGATCCCCGATTGATCCTAAGGAAGGGCTACAGGCTCGTTGTCCTGGGGGGTTATGGGCGCACTGACCTGCTACTTAACAAACCCTTTTATCCCAATGGTCTAGCGGTTGGGATTCTGACAGTCTCATCAGTAGTTGGCCCGATTTCTACTGACTGCTGGCGTTTCCTTGCCTCTGAGACTCCCTCCCCTGCTCTGCTCCGCGGCGCCTCATTTCCTCTGGGCATTCACTCTTGCGATGGCCCGGCCTGTTACAAGCAAAGAAGCGCCCCTTAAATGGCGCGGCAGTTGCATTCGCTGCAACGGCGTGTATAGTGGCGTGCTCGGCCGGTCCCCTAGAACGTTGTCCGTAGTAGAACCCCAGTCTCGGTCGGCGTAGGATATTGATCTTCTCGGCGAGCGCGAGGATCTCGTTGAAGTTCGAGAGCCCGCGTAGCATGATTTCGTGCGAGATATCCGGCTTCAGCCCTCCGTCGTAGCGGTCCACCCGCTCCGCTTCGTGCATGTAGCCGACTTGCTCGCATAATGCGGAGAAACCGCTCGTGTAATCTTGGACCGACCCGAGTTGTCGCCAAGTACGCAGTCTCTGACGCGCTGAAATAGAAGCCGCAATCGGCTCGAAGCACGCTCGAAGCCCTGCGCACAACGTGTCCCACGTGCTGTACTGAGCGGTTTCGCAGAAGGAACTCCATGTGATGGCTGGAACCGAGGGCCCTCCCTCTTGCGACGGCGGCTCGTAGGCGCGTGGCGACGTCACGATGACTCGCCACCAGTCCATGGCGGGGCCCCTCAGCAGCGAAACTACGTAGCGAATCTTCGTTGCGTCCGACTCGATGTAATTCGCGTCGAAGAAAACGTTCATCGTGAAAACCCACGATTGAACTGTCGGACCTCCACGTTGGCTAGGATCGAAGCAGGGCGGGCGCTACGGCTTGAGTGGCATCGGTGCCATGATGTCGTTGTTGCCACTCGTTGCGGCGAACTCCACGTGCCGGCGGCCTTCGCGAGGCCCTTGTGTGCTTGGTGCGGCCCTGTTCCTCTCCATGCCAGGCATAGATTGAGCGGCGCCATCACTGGCTGCGCCTGAGCGTTGTCCCACGCTGTCGTTCTGTATCGGTGTGCCTGATGAGATGACGATAGGCTCTTCCGATTGTGCAGGTGCATGTGTTGGTGCTGGTGCATTCACCGTCGATTGCTGGCGAGCGGAGTCGCGTTCCGCCGTGAGTGTCGCAATTTCGAGCGCCGAATCTTCGAGATGGCGCACGAGACGGTCGAGCTGCTCCTGCGTCAATGCCGTGAGGTTTATTTCGGCCATGGCGGGGGTGTCGGGCAAGCTCAGCGAGAGCCTCTATCATGGCCGTGTGTGCTTACGAGAGAGCACTTCGAGCGGCGGTGCTTGTTCGCTGAGAGACGTCTACCCCCCCAAAAAAATGATATAATGGGGAAGCGAAGGTGTGGGTGCGGTCCGAGAGGAGATCGTAGGCTATGAATACCAAGTGTTACGAGTGCAATTGAGTGAGCGAGCGAGAATTGCACTATCGAAGCAAAACAATACAATGAGCGAAGGCATGCACGAAGAATACCGTATCGCCCCGGATATAAGCGCAGGCCTATTTAAAGCGCATGCGCTTATATCTGGAGCAATGCGCTTATGGCCGATCCTCAATTATAAGCACACCCCCTGTAAAACCTTGTTTTATTATAAGCGCATCCATAATTTTTATTTAAAACCTGCTAAACACAGTAACGAGTTTCAAAATTGAAGCGATCCTAATTTCTCAATTGCTTCGTTTGACTCGCGAAGACCTCAGAAGCTGCGCGTCAGGTCAAGATTTTCTGGCATAGGGGCAAACTGACGTGTCTTTGCCCCTGTGTGTTGAAAAAAGATTGCCCCTGTGTGCGATTCCGATTCCTGGCGCTATAAAATACTGCCTCGATTGGAATGGTACGACTGAGATGTACATTTTGATGCTATAAAATTATATATATGTATCTGTCATTATATAAGCGCATGCGCTTATAAAAATGACTCAATTAGAAGCGCACCCCCCTAAAAAACTCTGCGTTATTATAAGCGCAGGTGAGCTTCTATCCGGGGTAATACGGTATATAGCGAACTAGAGTGGTAACGGTAACGCGAGAAATTGGGGTGCGCTACGGGTCTAGCGCCGAGGTTGGGATATGTTGAGGCGGAGGTCCGGAGCGCGGGTTACCAACCGAGCCGTGAGGTTGGGTCGCATCGTGAACAGTGGCGGGAGTCGTAGAGTGTCGCGAGCGGGTAATGTTTCGCTGTTTGGGTGGTGATGGCGGGAAAGGTCTTGTACGCAGTAAGCAGGGGCGCGAAGTAAGGAAAATGTTTTTTCCTTACAAAAGTCCAGATCTGTCCACGTGGATTTCCTTCATGGGCAGGATTTGGAGACTATTTTAACCACCGCCCTTGAGTTTTAGTAAAATGTTTCCATTAATAGCATCACTACAGATCTTGAACCACTCATAATGTGTCGGTACACTTTTACCACTTCACGCGGTGTGATTTTCTGCTATTGTGCCCACTCCCATGCCATGATCTCCAAAACGTGGCCCAACAACGTTAAGAACCTTGAGATTTAGCACTCCCATTCAGTGTCTCAGGTAAGTCTTCCTTTTTATGATCATCGAAAACAATGGTCACCTGCAAGTATAAAACCACATGTTGGTGTGCATTGAGCAATGACCACCACAGAAATATATCATACCCACAACAATCAAACACACCCACACTACTTATCCACACACACACACACACACACACACACACACACACACACACACACACACACACACACACACACACACACACACACACACACACACACACACAACCCATGCACACATTCACACAGAGAGTTTCAGGGATATTGGTAGTACGATCTGTTCAGTTACAAGCAGCAAGTGCACCATGTGTGCACATTGAAGGAGCACGAAGACAGGTGCAACAGATACTCCTGTACGAACGATTGGACACAAACGCCATCCACACATCACTAGGGACCCAAACTCCCCATCCATACACCCATTTACTCCACAAATGAAACCTATGGCTACCTGCACCAACCCACCTGTGAGCCATCTCTGGCAATGGTTGTTCTGCTGTCGGAATCGTGATGGTGGCGCTCTGTCAACAAAGTGTACGCTCCTTTCTGCTTAGCCTTCGCCTCCACGTACTTCTCATACGCATACCACCCCACTCCTCCTGAGTTTACTACCAGGCCTATGAGATTGGTGGGACTAACCTGCACTCAAGTAGCAGCACAATGAAAGCAGGTTATTAACTGTTCTAGGCAGACAGAGCAGCAGCTGTTCAGTAGAAACGGAGAGTACTGGGGAGAGTGAGGGCAACTGACCAGCACATCCCCGAATGCAAAGAGCCCTCCGAAGCCCTGCAAAATGGACTTGGTGCGGCCTGTGGGGAAGAGGGGGGGGGACACAGAGATGGACGAATGGAACCAGGAGAGCAAACGAGCGGGAAGAGCTCTGCACAACAACGGACAGCCGTCAAATAGCAGAGAGGATTGGTTAGGCTGGGGAAGAGATAACTTGGCGGTGTGGGGGAGAAGGTAATCGGAGGAGGACCCACCAACAATGCTGGTAGTGAGGCTGTCATTAACGAGCGTGCAGAGGTAGGTGGCGAGATTGAGTATGAAAGCTGAGGTGCAGGACAGCATGAAGCACACAAGGAACACGGCATCGCGTGACTGCAGCACTCGCTGCACAGCAGGCAGCTCGCTGTTGGCAGCAACCAGCAGGAAGGCGAAGGGCAGCGACCAGCAGTTGTTGTAAAGCAGCAGCGTGAACGAGTCCAGCTGCAGCTCCTCTCCCAGCTTCCCCACTATCACCACGTATGCTGCCGTCGCCAACGCGGATGACAGCGCCAGCACGTACCCCGCCGGGTCGAACGTGAGGTCACCCGTGCCCGCCACGACGCCCCCCAGCGCGGTGGTGTAGACGGCCAGCTGGATGCGTGGCGAGGCGCGCTTGGCTCGCAGGAGGAAGTCAAGAAACAGCACGAAGGGCGTGGTGGCGGACTTGAGCACGCCGTACATGGGGATGTTCACTCGGGAGAGGGCCGCCATGTCCAGGAGGAGCTTCAGCAGGAAGGCAAACGACAGCAGCGATACCTGAGGGCATGGAGGGTGGGAAGACGCCAAGACAGAGGGATAGGGGGACGGGGGTGGGGCTGATGCGACTATGGGCGAAGAGGAGACGGAATGGGAGGAGACAAGGAAAGGGCTGGCGTGCCAGTTGCCATATTGCTGCTCACACACCACTTCTTCCCCCACACACCACTCATTGCCCCTGATCAGACGTCCTCATCCCCGCACACACTCACGCGTCGGAGCACGTGCAGGTGGAAGGGCGTGACGCGGATGAGGCGCAGCAGGCGCATGGCGGCGAGCAGCGCGAGCGTGAAGAGCGTCTGGAAGAAGACGAGCGTGTAGGGGAACTTGAAGCGGTACACGTGGAACAGCGCCTTGTTTATGAACACCGACGCCACCGACATCACCCCTGCCGTGCCCGACCGGGGGGAGAAGGAGGGGAAACGGGGAGGGGGGTGGTGGGAAGTTTTGGGGGAAAACACATGGTGGATAACGACAATTATGGTTGCGAGAATGACTGGGATCCCGTGCTCGCGACACGTGATTGCGACCAGGACTACAAATTGTGAATCACGATCGGCGATGGGAGCACGTGGAGCAGCAACGAGTGATTTTAACGTAACAGACCAAGAATCTTGTATCGTATTGCTTGAAGTACCCCTGACGTGACGTTGGAAGTGACCTGATGCCTACCGTAGAAAAGCGCGGCGAGGATGCCGGTGTAGTTCATGGCGGCCTTTGATGGTCCCTTCTGGACGGTGCCTCGTTACAAGTGTCTCCGATACGGTGTGCACGCCAGCGCGACCACACCAGCGCACACATGCAAGCAGCTCGTCGCGGCCTACTCCTGTCCTTGCCTGCCTCTTGTTCCTGTCCACCCTCACCGCGCCTCCACTCCTCGTGCTCAATTGAAATGCACTTGAGAGTTCGCAACCGTGCGACAATCCCGAAGCATGGTGGTTAATTCGTGATCGCAAGCCAAGCGACGATCCTAATTTACGCCAACGATTCTACTTTCGCAGCATACATTATCCGAATTTGAACAACACAGCGTGCGAGATCACAGTGTCTTCATAATTTATTCTTGATTGAAATGGTCGCTAGAGCAGAAACTCGAATGGGTCAGAAATGGACGCAGTGTCGACCATGTCACCATGATGTCGGTTGAAATATGCGGGATGAATTCTAGGGAGGAGCACAGCCACCAGCCTCATCATCATCGTGGACCGACGACGGCTCGGAGAATCGAGGTTCGAGAAGGTGTGGCTGAGTCGGAGGGCACAGTCCCGGGGGTTGACTCAAACGCAGGGTCTGTCGTCACTATCGAGGGGAGCCTGGTTTTACTTGAGTGGTTTGAGTTTTACGGAAATGAAGTCTGGCATACATACAACTTACCCTAATTCGAAGAGGCGTAAAACAAGTTCCTAAACCCCCAGCTTCCTGCACTTTCTGTAGGGAATTCGAGGGGCATGAATTCGTAAATGAGCGATTGGAGTATCGACGATGGACGAGATTTAGTTGCGTAGCATCAGTGCTAGTACGTGCAGTCAGCGCCCCACTCGCCCTGAAAGCGCGGCGACACTATCCATCCAGCCATACTCGCACGTCATGAACCCTCTCGCAGTGCCTCGTCCCGCCTGTAACGCGCACTGCCCACCTTCTCTTTCCGCCAACGACAAAAATGGCCCCGCCGAAGGCACACTCGCGCGTCGAGCAAGCTGCTCCTTCGCGCACGCGCGCTCCCACAATGCGCCGCTTCTGTCTCCGCAGATCGCCCGCATGGGCGGAGTGGAGGGATTACGAGGGGATGGGGAGTGGCGGAACAGGGCGCTGGCGGTAACACGTGACACGAATGAGCCGCAATTACGCCAACAGTGTGGACCGCGATGCAGCGTGGTGAGATGCGGCATAGTCAGATGCAGCGTGGTGAGATGCGGCATAGTCAGATGCAGCGTGGTGAGATGCAGCGCTGGTCGCATCCACTCGCATCGCAGCCTTGCTTATCTTTCCCCTCAACTCTGCCCCTTCCCCGGCTTAACCCCCCTGTTTCCGCGCAGTCTTCCCCCGCGCAGCGCCCCTACGTGGCGGTGCTGATAGTGCCCACGGGCGTGGGCGCGGAGATCGGGGGGTTCGCGGGGGACGCGCTGCCGGTGGCGCGCGCGTTCAGCAGCGTGGCGGAGTGTCTGATCGCGCACCCTAACGTGCTCAACGGCGCCATGCTCTACTGGCCGCTGCCGCGCGCGCTCTACGTGGAGGGCCACGCGCTGGACCGCTTTGCGCGCGGCGAGTGGGGGCTGCAGCCCGTGCACAGCAACCGCGTGGGGCTCGTGTTCGACCGCGCCATCGAAGAGGACCTCCTCCAACGCCACCTGCAGGTGCCGCCATTCCGCCGCCATTCCGCTAGTTTGGTTGGCGCTGCATGGAGTGGCTGCAGCGACATTGCCGCTGTGTTGCTTTCTGCTTTCTTCGTCAGCTGCCTCGCTGCTGCCCCGCTCCACCTTGACCCTTACCCCCGCCTGCTCTTGCCTGCATGTGCCCTCACCATGCTCCCCACAACACATCCCCCTCGCCCCACACTCCCCCCGCCCCTGCAGGTGGCAGACGCTGCGAGGGCAACACTGGGAATTGACATAGTGGGATACACCGTCACCGACCGCCCCCTCAAGGTCATCTGCTCCCCCCTGCTCCTGTCTGCTCCTTCCTAAACCCGTCACACTCTCTCACACTTCCTGCCTTTCTCACAGCATGTGTGTGCGTGCGTGCATCTCAGCAAGCCCGTGAGTCCCTGGGCGTGTGTGGGGGGCGGGCAGCAGGTGCACAAGTGGGTGGACGGCGCCACGGGTGCAGCCACGGGGCGCATCGACGAGGCGGACTCGCTGCTGCGCGCCGTGCACACACTGCTCGCCGCACCCCTCGCCGCACACCCGCCCTCCCACGCACACGCCCTCTCGCCCGCAGCAGCGCCCGCTACAGGGGCCCGTGGGGTGGACGCGGTGGGGGTGGTGGCGCGCTTCCCTGACGACGCGGAGGAGGTGCTGCAGCAGTACCGCGAGGGGCAGGGCGTGGACGTGCTGGCGGGCGTGGAGGCCGTCATCTCCCACCTCGTTGTCCACCGCTTTCAACTCCCCGCCGCCCACGCCCCCGCCCTCGCCCCCCTGCCCCTCCTGCCCTCCATCGCCCCGCGCTCCGCCGCTGAAGAGGTGAGCGCTGACCCATGCTGCTCACTGCCCACTGCAAGTCACTTCCTTGCAGCCCCACCTGATGCTGCCTCGTCCTGCCCTCCCCCCACCCCCCACGCGCCCCTCAGATTGGCCACACGTTCCTGCCATGTGTGCTGGCTGGCCTCTCACGCGCGCCCCGCCTCGTCACACGTCACGCCCCTCCCACCACCGCAGCCAAACGCACAGGGGCAGGCGGAGGGCAGGAGGGGCAGGAGGGGCAGGAGGGGGCGGCGATTGCGAGCAGCATTCCCACCATCATTGGGGGCGCATGGGACTACAGCAGAGATGGTGGCAGCAGCAGCAGCGGCACGAGCACCAGCATGAGCAGCATGGGGGGAGGCGGAGGGGTGGTGTGGGCAGAGGACGTGGACTGTGTGGTGCTGCCCGTGGATGCCTTCGGCAGCCCTGCCGCCCAGGCCCTCGCTCGCCGACCAGGCGGCCCGGTCAGTGCTGCACGCTGCCATGCTGTGCTGCACGCTGCCATGCTGTGCTGCACGCTGCCATGCTGTGCTGCACGCTGCCATGCTGTGCTGCATGCTGCCATGCTGTGCTGCACGCTGCCATGCTGTGCTGCACGCTGCCATGCTGTGCTGCACGCTGCCATGCTGTGCTGCATGCTGCCATGCTGTGCTGCACGCTGCCATGCTGTGCTGCACGCTGCCATGCTGTGCTGCACTCTGCCATGCTGTGCTGCACTCTGCCATGCTGTGCTGCACGCTGCCATGCTGTGCTGCACTCTGCCATGCTGTGCTGCTGTCACTGCTCTGGGCTCACAGCAACATGCTTCACTGCACGCACTTGCTCTGCTGCATCTAGCTGAATGCTCATCCTTGTACCTGCATTCCCTGCGCCCCTCTTTGCCCATCCCTGCACGTGCCTGTGTGCGCCCATGGGTGGCCATCAGCCGCTGTTCATAGCGGTGGAGGAGAACACAACGGTCATGGATGACCCACCCTCCAAGTTTGGCATCCCTGCTGTGAGTTGCCACGTGCCATCACCTTACATGACCTCTCTCCAACAGTCCTTCGTATTATATCATTTTAGTAGGTACAGGCATGCAGTTACCACAACAACGACACAGCGGGTACGCACTCTAGAAACCATTCTCCCAATGCTTGAGTCACTACTCCCTCAAGGGGAGCTCCAAGGTGGGCTCCAGTATGCCGAAGCAGTCCCCTAGGTCATGACTTGGGTCGGTGAGCCCACTGGTGAGTTCTCTGCCTGGGCAGCGAAGTTACATTTGGTGTGGTAACCCAACGACTGCCCTCCCTGCGGCGCCACCGACCAGCGCTGGCGGAAGTGGTGCAGCATCTTCGCCGCCTGGTAGGTTGTTGGGTCGGCGTTCAAGTGCTTGCGTGCAGCCATGTCGGCTACAAGCTTGAGGAATTGGGGCACCTCCGCGAATGGGCAACCATACAGTTCGACGGCGAGTGGGTAAAACCCGACATAGGGTGCTCTGGAGTTGCGGTAGAGGGACACCTTTTAGCCGCCGCCTCATGTGCAGCCCAGCCTCTCCCCTTGACGGTCTCGGATCTATCTCTCTCTCTCCCTTTCTCCCTTTCCTTCTTTGCTCTTGCTTTCCTGGGGTGTGCCTGCTGTTCTCCCGGGGGCCATGTGCATGGCAGGTGGTGGTGGGAAACTACTGGGAGGCGCTGGGGGTGATGGCGGCACACAAGGCGGGGGTGAGCCCATGGTCGCTGCGCCGCCACGCCATCTCCCACATCCCACGCATCCACCCCACCCACTCTTGACGCCTGCCATGGCCCTCTCACTCACCAGTGTGCCTGATTACCGCCACATTGCATTGCTGATTCCAATCAAAGTAACAGGCATTAACGTGCATGTCCTATCAAGGTTATCCATGGCTGTGTCCCAAAGCTGCTGGCTGCCTTATCCCAATATAAACCCCCAGGGGCGTTCAAGAATTTATCAAAAACATGTTGTAGGGAGGTTTCAGTTTACACTTCCATACCAGCACCAGCATCCTACCGTATCGTGCGTCAAAACTAGGTTGTGACAAAATATGTCGCATTCTGCATAATATTGGTACGAGAGCTTTGACGACAACTACCGTATTTAAGTTAGGTGACTTTTATGACAAATTTGGTCAAGACCGCTTGCGATTCTGCCAGCTAATATGAATGCGTGCGTCACTGCATAACGGGCGATCCATATTTATAAACACAGCCATTATGCTAGTGTATTTATTAGCATCCAACTGTTGGTGGTATGTACACCACTTGCCTATCGCTTGCTTGTATGTTTTGGGCTCTTGCCCTTTCTAATGCCACCTTTCCATTCTCAACTCTACCCTTTCAACACCCCACTTGCTATTTGATATGGTATCAAAGCTAGGTTTCTGGTTCTAAAGCCTCCCAACGTCGTTATGGCGGCGTTCTCTGTCGCGAGCGACCCATGATTCTCCCAGCCTAACACACGATTGGTAAGATTGTATGGTTTGATGACTACTACCGTATTCCCCCGGATAAGACACCCTAGGGTCTTCTAAATATTTCATTTAAAAAACGTGGGGTGGGGGGGTATTATTAAATAGTTTTGAAATTATAAGGCCCGGGTCTTATCATAAGTGCATCGATTTTAAAAATAGAATGGAATGCAGATGTGCTGTAATGTTGTGTAGTTCTTTTTATTACGATGAAAACCACCACGCGAATGTTCGAGCCCGAGAAAACGGCCTCAATCCATCTAGCATTTGAAAGGTGCCTACTGATTGGCCCATATTCAGTAGTAACCAGCATGACTGATCACGGGCCGACCAACGTGTACCACGTCCCCTTCATTGTGGCAGGCCGCCTCGGTACTCACACCCCATGCATGCTACGTGAGTTGGAGTAAGAATCTCGAGGAGACGGTATCAACAGATGGGGGGTGTTGGGGGCTCGAATTTCTTGGGCCTTGGGAAAATTTCGCGACTGCTGCGAAGTCACGATCGATTCTGCTTCTGTCGCAATTTTCGCCATGACGCGCGCTTTCACCCGAAGTCGTTCGATCCGTCGCGCGTCGGTCTCGCTACTTCTGCACCGCTCGATATAGGTCCCGACAATTCGCAATTGTCGTCCCTGTATCGCAAACGTTTTCGCCAACAATCGAACTCACGATCCTGTTCAAAAAACGCGCGAGGGGGGTTATTAAAAAAACGCGGAATCTGGTGCTTACCAACGTCGGCGCCGAATTCGTCGCCCCCGGCGGTTTTTCGAAGCAGGAATTTCTTGAGCGCGCTGCTTAGCTGAAACTCCGCGAGTGAAAACGGCTCTGATTACCAAGTGTCACAGGATCGAATTTCCACTCGAGAATGTTGTACTAAAGGTGAGTACAAGGCGTATTTATACTCAGAAATACATAGAAACAACAGATAATCCGAACCTTCGGGAACGCGCTCTTCTAGAATAGATAATCACAAGTGCGCATAAGCACGCAAGCCCATTGGCAATTCGGATTATGGCGAGATTACGCCTTGTACACCACCGTCGGTGCTGTCGGTGCCGTATAATGTAAATGTCGGTGCCGAAAATACCAAATAAGTGAAATAATCGGAAAGCTCTAGAAAATAGAATAGTAGTCCGATTGAGGTGAATTAAAGTGCAAATGAAAGAGGAAATTAAGGAGAATAAGATGGAGTAAAAATATGGAAATGAGAAATATGTCGAACGTCGGCGTACTCTCACACACACACACCACTTGTTGCACCGGTACCGGTTTCACTGGCTGACCCCACTGGGGGCCTTGTAGTCGCACGAGCCTCCACTGTCCTCCCGTGTCCAGCAGTCCCCTCCGGTTCTCTGTCAGGTCTCCACCTCCCCACGTTCTTGACGAAATTGGTGAGCAACGCTGCCATTCAGGATGTCTGGGTTGATACCTTTATTCCTGGAGGGCAGCGTGTGGCGATCCGTATGTGCTCCCAGACTGGCCGTCACCTGGCTAGGTTCAGCCGACGGCTTTGGTCTAGTCTGTACACACTGACCATTGTGTCTGCACATGTGGCTGAGGCAGGTCAGGTGGCTGCGTCGAATCAGGTGTCTGCGTCTGGTTAGCTTGCAGCTTCTTGCTCGTGTCGGGTACTCTCCCACCAGAATCTCCTCTGGCACCACCGCCTCGGTCACCCCTCCCTACTGCGTCTCCGCGGTATGCACTCCCATCTCCTTGTCTCTGGCCTTCCCAGGTCCCTACCCCCCCTCCCGCGCTCGCCTGCCCCGCCGTGCCTTCCCTGCGTCGAGGGGCGGCAGTGCGCCGGTCCTCACTCCTCCGATTTTCCTCCGACCACCGCTCCTCCGCAGACTCTCCACATGGACGTTTGGGGCCCAGCCCCCGTCGGTGGAACAGACCAGGAGCGCTACTTCCTGCTGGTTGTTGACGACAATTCACGTTACACCACTGTCTTCCCCTTGCGGCGCAAGGCGGACGTCAGCGGTGTTTTAATCCACTGGATCTGTGCTACTCGTCGCCAGCTGCGCTAGCGGTATTGTTGGAACTTCCCAGTCCTGCGTCTGCACTCTGACAGGGGCGGTGAGTTCTCTTCTGACCTCCTTGCGGAGTTCTGTCGAGACGAGGGCATCCGCCAGACGTTCACGCTTCCGACCTCTCCTCAGCATAATGGGATTGCTGAGCGTCGCATTGGCTTGATCATGGAGGTTGCTCGTACATCCATGATCCATGCGGCTGCTCCCCATTTTCTGTGGCCGTTTGCGGTCCGATACGCTGTGCATCAACTCAACCTCTGGCCCTGTGTCTCTGAGCCAGAGACCTCGCCCACACTCCGGTGGACGGGGAAGGTTGGCGATGCGTCGGTGTTTCGGGTCTGGGGCGCGCTCTCCCTTGTTCGCGATGCCAAAGCGAACAAGCTCTCCTCTCGCACTCTTCGCTGCGTCTTCCTTGGCTTCCCCAACGACGCCCTGCCGTGGCAGTTTTACCACCCGCGCTCGCGTCGAGTCTTCTCCGGGAGGACGTCACCTTTGACGAGTCTGTCTACTACTACAGGCTACACCCGCACGCGTCCCACCCGGTCCCCCTAGCGCCTCTTTTCTTGGTACCAGTTCCCCCCCCCCCCCCGGTAGACCCCCTCCCCCCACAGGGTCCTGCTCCCTCAGGTGTGTCTCAAGTAGACCCACCCCCCTTGGTTGAGCCTTTGGAGGTCTCTTCTGACTCCTCTAGCCCAGCTGAGGGGGGTGACCCTGCCGCTGACGACACGGCGGCCACTCGCCGCTCTCCACGCTTGGAGACCCCCCCTGGTTTTCCGTCTCGGCCGTCTTCGCCGCCTCCGCAGCCTGCTGCTGTGGACTCTGGAGCTGAGACTGCTGGTGCTGAGCCTTGGGGTGCTGAGACAAAGGGTGAGGGTTCTTGGGGTGCTGGTTCTGGGGGTGCTACGACTGGGGGTGCTTGTTCTTGGGGTGCTGCGACTGGGGGTGCTGCCTCTGGGGGTGCTGCCTCTGGGGGTCCTGCGAGTCCTAGTGGCGGTGGAGCTGTGGGTGACCCTACTGGAGGTCCTGTAGCTGGACAGCCACCGCAGCCTGACCTACTTGAGACGCTCTCGCCGCAGGCGATTCGTGCGTGGATCGTTCGGCGAGGCAGTCCTAGTGGTGGAGGGTATGGTCCTGCTGGTGCTGGAGCTGCTAGTCTTGGAGGTACTGCTGGTGCTGGAGGTACTGGAGGTGCTGCTAGTGCTGGAGGTACTAGAGGTGCTGCTGATGCTGGAGGTGCCGGAGCTACTAGTCCTAGAGGTGCTACTGGTGCTGCAGGTTCTGGACCTACTAGTCCTGGAGGTACAGCTTGTGCTGGAGGTGCTGGAGGTGCTGCTGGTGCTCGAGGCGCTGGAGCTGGAGGTACTGGAGGTGCTGGAGCAACTGGTCCTGGAGGTGCTCGTAGTAGAGGTGCTGGAGCTGCCGGAGCTGGTGGTGCTGTTCATGGTGGAGGTGCTACTGGAGCTGCTGGCAGTGGAGGTACTGGAGGTACTGCTGGTGC